AAAACACTAACAAAAGGATATAACAACAGAGGCATGATATAAAAACAACAAAAACATGACATGAAAACAACAAAAACATGATATAAAAACAACAGTGATGCAAACAATGACTGATAAAGTGATTAAACTTATTCTAATATCTCCCTGTACAGCCCTCAGCCCCTCATCCAGACTGGCCAGGCACCCAGTGGGGACTCCCACCATGAAGGGGGTGTGAGTGGGCATTTTTCACCACATGAAGAGTGAAAACACTTTCAGAGTGCTTGACTAATTTCCCTTGTGATGAAGTACTTAGAACTTTAACTGTAACATCACATGCTCTTCAAACTCCAGAGAAAGCAACATATAACTGACCATGTGCAAAACCGGGTTCAGGGAGGAACATGCCTACTCTGTCTAGAGTTTGTCCTTGTGACTTATTAATAGTCATCACAAATGCTGGCATCACGGAAACCATCTTCAAATCAACTTAAATGGGAGGCTAGTGTCAGATGGGGACAAATTAATTCTTGGAATCAGAACAGCCTCTCCCTCTTCAGATCCTGTTAATACTTCAGCTTTGCCCTAACCAGTTTGGCTCAGTGGATAGAGCATCGGCCTGTGGACTCAAGGGTCCCAGGTTTGATTCTGGTCAAGGGCACATACCTTGGTTGCGCGCACTTCCCCAGTAGGGGACGTGCAGGAGGCAGCTGATCAATGTTTCTCTCTCATCGATGTTTCTAACTCTCTTTCCCTCTTCCTTCCTCTCTGTAAAAAATCAATAAAATATACTTTTTTAAAGGGAATTAATAAGCAGAGATATTTTAATATTCCTATTTGCCCTTTCTCTATAATAGACATGTGAGAGATGAAAGGAAATTAGTAAAATGTATATGAAAATCATATAAATTTATTAATAAAAAAACACTAACAAAAGGATATAACAACAGAGGCATGATATAAAAACGACAAAAACATGACATGAAAACAACAAAAACATGATATAAAAACAACAGTGATGCAAACAATGACTGATAAAGTGATTAAACTTATTCTAGTATCTCCCTTTATACCACATTAAGAGTGAAAACACTTTCAGAGTGCTTGGCTAATTTCCCTTGTGATGAAGTACTTAGAACTTTATAACATCACATGCTCTTCAAACTCCAGAGAAAGCAACATATAACTGACCATGTGCAAAAACGGGTTCAGGTAGGAACATGCCTACTCTGTCTAGAGTTTGTCCTTGTGATTTATTAATAGTCATCACAAATGCTGGCATCACGGGAAACCGTCGGCAAATCAACTTAAATGGGAGGCCAGTGTCAGGTGGGGACAAATTAATTCTTGGAATCAGAACAACCTCTCCCTCTTCAGATCCTGTTAATACTTCAGCTTTGCCCTAACCGGTTTGGTTCAGTGGATAGAGCATCGGCCTGCGGACTGAAGGGTCCCAGGTTCAATTCTGGTAAAGGGCACGTACCTTGGTTTTGGGCGCATCCCCAGTAGGGATGTGCAGGAGGCAGCTGATCGATGTTTCTCTCTCATCGATGTTTCTAACTCTCTATCTCTCTCCCTTCCTCTCTGTAAAAAATAAATAAAAAATATTTAAAAAAATACTTCAGCTTTGATAATGTTAGGTCGTAATCTTTTGATAATAAATCTGGTACCATTACAAACACCCCATTTACTATTGAGATTTCTCAATAGCATGATGATTGCACCCACTTTCAATTTTAATTCATATTATGGTATTCCCGAAGGAGTAATACTATGCAGAAATTCGATGGGGAAGTTTTCTTTTGTTTCTTTTTTATGGGTTGGGGCCACAATATTAGTAACTAAGAAACAGCCTCCTAGCATCTGCTATAAAGTAAAGGCATGTCTGTGGGCGTGTCACTGTCTCTCAGAGAAGCAGTGTCCCACTGAGACCCAGATTTCATTCTCTTGTCTGTCTTTTCTAAGCCTTTCAGCAGCCCCACACAGATTCACCCTGTCCGGGCGCGGCACACTTTAGAAAGATCTGCCTCCAGGCTCCCAGGGCCAGTTCCTGCCTCAAACTCTGCCCTTACAGGAAACAGCTCTGGGAAACAGCTTCTGGGAGGGCGCAGCTGTTGCCAAGACAACCCCTGTAAGACTGACTTCCTTCAGCTCAGTTGCTGTTCGTCTTTATGTGAGGAACACCACCCATGGCTTTTATATAAGTAGATTCATAGCTAGACCAGAGGTATGTCCATTGGCAGTAGTTCTCCCTGGAGTGTTTTCCAAGCCATCACAGCAAGTTCCAGGTACAGCAGGTAAGCAGAGAGTGAAAAAAAAAAAAGCCCCACATTTATTCTCCAGTGTCCAGTGCTGAAATTGTACAAGGTGGTAAACATCAGTTCCTATCCATATGACACCGCCTTTTCCTGGCAGAACGTCCTCTTCTAGTTAACTTCTCATTTCACTCGACCGCTACAGGTTTCAATCCTACTCAACTACATGCACCTGAACTCTCAAGCCCACATCACTCAGACACGTGGGGCCATGTGTTCGGACCATAGGTTCAAGCTTACAACTACAGCTGTTGGCTATAATTGTGCTGGGAGGGCCCTGTCCTCCAAGCTGGCACTTGCACATGGCGATGATAGGACTGTGCCCTCTCATCAGTCCAAGGCTTGAACCTGTCCAAAACACTGTAGTGGTTCCCCACAATAAAGTTTTAATTCTGTTTCTTTGTTACTAATGTTGTGGCCCCACCTCATAACAAAGAAACAAAGGAAAATTTCCCCATTGAATTTCTGAATAATATTACTCTTTTGGGAATACCGTGATATAAATTAAAATTGAAAGTGGGTGCAATCATCATGCTATTGAGAAATCTCAATAGTAAATGGGGTGTTTGTAATGGTACCAGATTTATTATCAAAAGATTACGACCTAACATTATGGAAGCTGAAGTATTAACAGGATCTGAAGAGGGAGAGGCTGTTCTGATTCCAAGAATTAATTTTTCTCCATCTGACACTGGCCTCCCTTTTAAATTGATTTGACGACGGTTTCTGTGATGCCAGCATTTGTGATGACTATTAATAAATCACAAGGACAAACTCTAGACAGAGTAGGCATGTTCCTCCCTGAACTCGGTTTTGCACATGGTCAGTTATATGTTGCTTTCTCTGGAGTTTGAAGAGCATGTGATGTTACAGTTAAAGTTCTAAATACTTCATCACAGGGAAATTAGTCAAGCACTCTGAAAGTGTATTCACTCTTAATGTGGTGTACAGGCAGATACTAGAATAAGTTTAATCACTTTATCAGTCATTGTTTGCATCACTGTTGTTTTTATATCATGTTTTTGTTGTTTTCATGTCATGTTTTTGTCGTTTTTATATCATGCCTCTATTGTTATATCCTTTTAAAAATATATATATATATATTATTGATTTTTTACAGAGAGGAAGGGAGAGAGAGAGAGAGTTAGAAACATCTATGAGAGAGAAACATTGATCAGCCGCTTCCTGCACATCTCTCACTGGGGATGTGCCCGCAACCCAGGTACATGCCTTTGATCGGAATCGAACCCGGGACCCGTCAGTCCGCAGGCGGACGCTCTATCAACTGAGCCAAACTGGTTTCGGCTGTTGTTGTTATATCCTTTTGTTACTGTTTATTTATTAATAAATTTATATATGATTTTCATATACATTTTACTAATTTCCTTTCAATTCTCACACTTCTTTATAGAGAAAGAGCAAATAGCAATATTAAAATATCTCTGCTAATTAATTCCCTTTAATTATATTTTATTGATTTTTTACAGAGAGGAAGGGAGAGGGATAGAGAGTTAGAAAGATCGATGAGAGAGAAACATTGATTAGCTGCCTCCTGCACACTCCCCACTGGGGATGTGCCCGAGACCAGAATCGAACCTGGGACCCTTGAGTCCGCAGGCCGATGCTCTATCCATTGAGCCAAACCAGTTAGGGCAATTAATTCCCTTTTAATGTACATGAATTTTGTGTACTGAGCTATTAGTTCTTAATAATAAAGGGATGAACTTATGAAGGGGATAAAACCCTTGTAAATATTTATGGTTGCAAAGTTGGAGGACCTGAGTAAATAAAGCAAATATTGGTGGACATGAAAGCAGAGATTGATCTTTCCCATCCGGGATCTTTGTATTTTGGTTGGTGATTTGTAGGATTTGTGGAAATAGGGATACTAGATGCTTCAAGATCTGTGAATTAAAATCACTTTTTCTCATCATATAGACGGTATTTTCCCTGATTTCCTAGATTCTTTGAATGCACTGAGCATACATTTTGAGGATGACTAATTTATTTAAGCTTTTTCTGTTTTTGTGTTGCTGTCATAGCTTAAGCTATTGTAAAACCCGAGGTCATGGAGGTTTAACCCTATGTTTTTGTCTAAGAGTTCTTACATTTAGCTCACATATGGCTTCTAAATCTTGGATAAATTATAACCATTTCTATTGCAGTCATCTGCTCAATTAGAGGCTCTAGTGAACAGCAAGGTTTTTTTGTGAGAAGGAGGTGAAGAGAATAACAAATGGTTACTGTTCAAAAATCACATTCATGATACATTTTAACACTAATTATGTCATTTAAAAGCCCACTTTGAACCTTAGTTTTATCTCTGAACTTTCCAATTTGGTGCCTTCTTCTATCAAAGGGCACCTGGCCCTTTCCTCCCTTTAAAGAAGTAAAATAAACGCCCTCCCTCTGCTCCTGTCTCTTCTCTCCCTTGTGAATCCTTTCGCAGCCGCGTCACCAGCCAAATCCCTGACAATGACGTGGGAAACTCCCCCAGGAAGGGCTGTCCCTGTGGGAGGAGGTGCGGGGACCGGGGCTGCCCCCTCGCTCCTGCCCCGCCCTCCCTCCCTCTGTCCCCGCACAGGCCTGGCCGCCGGGCTCGGCCCCGCCCCCATCGCGGAGTCGCTCAGCTCAGGCTCTGGCCCCGCCCACCCCGCGGGGAGGCGCATGCGCAGTTCCTTGCAGACGCGGAAGCGGCCGTGGAGGGGAAGGTGGCGGTTCCCCCTGAGGAGGGTGTTTGTCTTTAAAGCTGACGCTCCCCGTCCCCCTCCCCGCAGGGAAGGCTGAGGGCGCTGCCGGCGCTGAAGTCCTTGTTGGGGTCCCCGCCCCGGAGCCTCTCTCAGCGGTGAGTCCGCGTCCCGGGAGGCTGCGCGGTGCGGGCGCCACGTTCCTTTGGGAGGAAACGGAGGCCCAGGCCCGGGGTCTCTCCGCCTGTGGCTGTGGCCACCGCCTGCCGCGCGGTTTTCCCGCTGAAAACCGTTTCCGGGGCCGCCGGTCCTCCCCGCGGGGCTGAGAGTCTGGGTCAGGGGGTTCCCGCTCTTTGCGCCCCTCCCCCCGCCCGGCGCTTTCCGCCCAAAGAGCCCGGATGGCTCAGGGCCTGGGGGTCTGCACCCCCCTCCTAGGCCCACCCCCATTTAATAAGGGGTCTGCCTGCCCGGGGAGCACAGTGTCCATGGGGGGGCTCAGGGGGAGGACGCGGTGTCCCCTGAAGAGGCGACCTGCCCGCAGGGAGGGGCTTTGTGGGTGGGGTGACCCCGGGGGGCGGGGACCCAGGCTGGGGGGTCAGGAGAGGGAGTGAGAGACAGACACGTGGGCGGGAGGAAGGGCAGCGAGGGGTCCACAGAAGGGGGGCTCAGGGATGAGGGAGCAGAGGGAGCAGCCCTGAGTCAGCAGCTGTGGGAGCGGGACAGACGGGAACAGGCAGCAGAGGGGCCGCGGGCGTGGGGAGGGGAAGACGCAGACGTGTGTGGAGATGGAGCCTCAGAGACCAGGAGAAAGAGCCCCTGAAGGGAAGGAGGTTTCAGGAGTTTCATGGTCCAGGTGAAGGACAGACAGAGAGAAAAGGGGAGAGAGAGCAGGGGAGAGGGGGACACAGGAAAGGACCACAGTGGAGAGAAAGGGAGCAGGAGACAGAGACAGATCCACAGACAGAAATACATGTAGTGGGAGGAGGGGAACCCTGATCTGGGTGAGAGGTGAGCTGATGGGTGGTGGATGGTTAAGTTGTGATATATCGGCTGCGGATATATATATATCTGCTCATCTCCAGGAGGCAGGGAGAGGGAGAGAGAGTTAGAAACATCAATGAGGAAAGACAATCATTCATCAACTGCCTCCTCCTGGCCCCACAGTCGTGATCAAACCTGCAACCTGGCCACATGCCCTGACAGGAATCTAACCATGATCTTCTGGTTGATAGGTCCCGTCTCAACCAGTTAGTCATGCTGCCTAAGCATGGCTTTATGTATTTAATTTAACAGCTGAATTGTCTTAGTTATACCGATTTGAATGAGAAATATAAATCTCTAGTGTATAAGGCTTTGGAATTTTATAATATTTTGCTTCCAATTACAGCCCTTATTTACTCAGAGGGGAGAGACTTGTCTGTTGTTCATGGGTTCCTTGTCATTTCCTGGGATTGAAACGGGGAGGTGACCTGAATCTGTCACCATCTGATCCTTTTTCTTTTTAAATATATTTTATTGATTTTTTACAGAGAGGGAGAGAGATAGAGAGTTGGAAACATCGATGAGAGAGAAACATCCATCAGCTGCCTCCTGCACACCTCCTACTGGGGATGTGCCTGAAAGTAAGGTTCATGCTCTTGACCTGAATTGAACCTGGGACCTTTCAGTCTTCAGACCGAGGCTCTATCCACTGAGCCAAACCGGTTAGGGCAATCTGCTGCTTTTTCAAGGAATATTAGAAGCCTTAGGTTTTTCGCTGTGGTGTGTGTGTGTGTGTGTGTTTCTTCCATGGATTTACTTTTTCTATGTTTGACACTTAATTTATTTTTTAAAAACATACTGAGATAAATTCTCAGATTCCCTGAAGAGCTTTAAGAAATGCCATCAGGGGCACTTTCCCCCATGGAGTTGGACAGCTACTCCGGGTGGGGCATCATTGGTTACTGAGGTGCCTCCGGGTAATCGGAAGGTGAGGACAGGGATAGCAGGAGGGGTGCAGGATGCCTTTGTGAGAGTGCGGAGCAGGCTTTATCCAGGGGAGGTAAGGGAGTGCTCTGTTTGGTTTGGGGCTTAAGGACAGCAGCTCACGCTCTCATTTCTGTAGGAGTTAGTGGATGTCTTTGGGAGGAGAGACACATGAAGACACACACTTGAAAACTCACAGTGTGGTCTCCATGTAGGAGCTCATTGTTCCTCACTCTCTCCTGTGACCCAGGACAGGAGGGGGTGGCCTTTTCTGCATTTCCGGGTCCTTCTGACTGTGAGTGTCCTGTGAGCTGATTGACACGCTGAGCTGTCGTCTTTGAAGGCACAGCCTGTGACTCCTCAACATATCCTCGCCTGAGACAACAACCCAGACCTTGATCAGGACCAGGACCAGGACCAAATGGCTGCTTCTCAGGTAAAAGATGTGTCCTGGGTCACAGGCTATGTTTCCTTTTCCTCTGACATCTGTGGATTTAGAACCTGCCCCTTCTGATGTTGGTGCTATTCATGCTCTTTTCCTTATTTAATTACCGGTTTTCTTGTGATAATCAAGGTCAGCAGTGTATATAGTTTTTTCCTTTTGCCCAGAGCCTTCTCTCCATTCATGTTATGCAGGTTCCACCAGGTCAGGAAGATTTCCCACCTTTAATTGATGACTTTCAATTACTGAAAACATCCTTCTCTGACAGGTCAACCTTGGAAGGCAGCCATGCCTAACATCCCTACCGGGATGGGTCCAGAGGCTCGGGTATCGGTGAAGAAGGGAAATATAACTTTTAGGTTCAGGTGGCTGCAGCATCAGCTCTAGAATAAGCCTAAGGAAAAGCACATCTTACTGCTCAGAATAGGTCAGCAAGTTCTGAAAAGAAGAGTAAAGAGAAGAGACTTGCTCACTAGATTAGTAAGAAAGACTTGCTATTTAAATCTTCACAGAACATGAGAGGTACACTGGATTGACACTTGCAAAAATTAATGTTTATTTATGACCATTTTTCACATAATGACTTGCTTATTTATGTATTTTTCCTGTGACATGTCCTTTCCTGTGCCTCAGTCACTTGATATCCATTGTTCCAGTTCACCTGATATTCCCTTGGCTGAGATGCTCCCCTAATCGTAGAATTTATTGAGAGATGTGCACAGACCATCCAGAAGCCCCCCTCTTCGTCTTAGCTTCTACTTACTTTAAAAAAATAAAAGCCCTACTTTTATTTCCTACATATCACTGTCTTTTGACATGGGAGCTTCAACCAATCAGGCCTTCTTGCTGTAAATTTTTTTTATATTCTACACTCATTCATGGACATACTCGACATAATCACTTTTTATATTTTCCAGAAAGTTTACAAGAATCATATTATTAATGTATCTCCAATTCAGTTAAATTTCTATGATTGTAGCTCTCCACTAATGACACATAAAAATTTCCAAATGCATTAGCGACTTAGAAACAATAGGTCCAACATATTTTCTATCATTATGTGAGTTCATCTCCTTATTGTGTTTATAATACACAAAGGGTATCATTCACACGGATGTTCATGAAATTTATGGAATCACAAAATAACCGTGACTTCATTGACATGACAATTCTTTTTTCTATCCATTTTAAATTGTAGGTAAGTTCTCATAAGTGTGTCTCTACATAAAATGTTAACATCGTTTGAGCTATATTTAATTGTAGATCGAGCTGTCTTTATTCTTCTTCTCAGTTACAGAAACTGCTGTGAATATTCATGAGTTTTCTTTATGGGTATCGACCTGAGTTTGTTTCTTTTTTAATTGTAGATCGAGTTTGGAATAAAATTGAAGGTTTACTAGTAACTTTAATTAATATGTTTCACAAAATATTCTATCAAAGGGAGAATAATCTTGTTCTAAGAATACTCATAGTAAAATTTCAAATAGGATTGTGGTTCCTATGTGTCCTATTCCATGAAAACTATAAATTCCATTAACAAACACTTTCACTTAAAAGTTATGTATGAATTTTTTCCTGTGTTTTCTGTGTATTCAGAAGTATGACAAATGGACCAGAAACATTGGCATCACGAGTGAAAAGTGAGCTTGTTACACATGTGGAAACACAGGCCCCATCTGTGAACCTGGATCAGAATCTGTATTTTTAGAAAAGTGCAGTCGTGGTTGACTGTGTTACACTTCAGGCAGTAATTATGCTTCCAACTGAGCATGACATCTCCAGCTGAGAAATACACACCACGGACCCTGAACAATGCAAACACAGCCCTCAGAAACCCATGTTCCCGTGTCGATGCCCTAATTTTAAAGTTTATTTTCCGCCCTAACCGGTTTGGCTCAGTGGATAGAGCGTCGGCCTGCGGACTCAAGGGTCCCAGGTTCGATTCTGGTCAGGGGCATGTACCTTGGTTGCGGGCACATCCCCAGTGGGGAGTGTGCAGGAGGCAGCTGATCTATGTTTCTCTCTCATCGATCTTTCTAACTCTCTATCCCTCTCCCTTCCTCTCTGTAAAAAATCAATAAAATACATTTTTTTAAAAAAAGTTTATTTTCCTGAAAAGTAAGATCTGTACCATGGATTTTGGGACAGGTGTCATCCTCATTTGTTAGTGTTCGAAAACATACCAGAGAATGTTACTGGGCAAAGTGATCTTATTGGGTGATTCAGGATATTCCCCTTGGTCAAAACCTCTTCTCTTAACACAGTTTTCTTTTTTGTTTCTTTTTTTTTCCTTCATTTTTTTCTTTATCTCCTAACACTGTTTTCATGTTGGCTTACATTATGAGCTCTTCTGGTGACCGCTTGATAAACTTGTCTTTCCTTTCAGGGACCATTGACCTTCAGGGATGTGGCCATAGATTTCTCTCTGGAGGAGTGGGAATGCCTGGACCCAGCTCAGCGGATATTGTACCTGGATGTGATGTTGGAGAACTACAGCAACCTGGTCTCCCTGGGTGAGGATGACTTCCTTCCTGAGTTCCTCTTCCACTCTCAGGGTTTTGTTTCCTTTATTATTTTAACATCTCTAGGAGTCTTCTGCTTTCTAGGGTAGACTTTCTGATTCATGCTCTTAGGAAACAAATGGGCGTTTTCTGGTTTAGAAAAGAATGGCTTTGTTATGTATGTGAATGAGGAACTCAGTGTTTGAAAATTTTACTTGTTGTCTTGACTAATTAAGGTTCAGTCAGAAAACAGTATTTTAGGGAATAATTTTCTATAATATTCAAATATTCTACCATGTCTTCTATTTTTTTTTATTAATAAACTAGAGGCCCGGTGCACAAAAATGTGTGCACTCGGGGGGGCAGGAAGGGGGGTCCCTCAGCCCGGCCTATGCGCTCTTGCAGTCTGGGACCCCTCAGGAGATAACGACCTGCTGGCTTAGGCCTGCTCCTGGGTGGCAGAGGGCAGGCCCAATCCCTAGGTGCAGCCCCTGGTCGGGCTCAGAGCAGGGCTGATTGGGGAGTTGGGGCGCCGCCCCCTGTCATGCACAGAGCAGGGCGGATCAGGAGGTTGCAATGCCACCCTCAGTCACGCTCAGGGTGGGGCCGATTCGGGGGTTGGAGCACAGCCCCCTGTCACACTCAAGGCAGGGTCGATGGGGAGGTTGCGGCGCCACCCCCTGTCACGCACAGAGCAGGGCCAATCAGGGGGTTGGGGAGCTCCCCCCTGTCATGCACAGAGCAGGGCCGATCAGGGGGTTGAGGAGCTTCCCCCTGTCACGCACAGAGCAGGGCCCATCAGGGGGTTGGGGGAGTTCCCCCCTGTCACGCACAGAGTAGGGCCCATAGGGGAGTTAGGGCACCGCCCCCTGTCACACACAGAGCAGGCGGATCAGGGGTTGGGGCGCCGCCACTGTCACACTCAGGGCAGGGCCGATGGGGAGGTTATGGCTCTACCCGTCACACACAGAGCAGG